ATCGCTTCTGGTTCCGTTAAAGAAAAGAAAGACAAAACTATATTTGAATTTCTCGTTTATCTCTGCAAATGCTGGAAAAGGAATCTTGTTACGTGGAGATACGGACTTTGAGGTAACAATCTTTGATCTTTGATAGAACCTAAAGTTTTATTGGTGATGAGCTCGTTATAAAGTGTAAAGAACTCCTTTTTATAGAACCAGAGAATAAAAACTACAAAAGGTGTCTTATATAAGAATTCACACTACATGGATGTTGTAAACCAGAAGATATAAAAAATATTATAATGATTACGTAGTACAATTCTTATTTATTTCATTGTCAAGACGTAGTACATCCAACAAAATTTCATAACCTTTCCATACACGATATACATATTTTTATATAAATACAAAAACACACTGCTTGTTAAAACAAAACAATGAAATAATAAAAAAAGATGAAAGCATCACTTTAACCATTCCAAATTTAGATATCTTTCATGTTAAAGCCTTTGTATTATAGAGCCAATCTCTCTGTGTCTGGAAAACAGAACTATACAATCGAATTACAGCCACTTTATTATATCAATTCTGCAAATACAGTTTTAAAATGCAATCCTAGATCGGAGTAACGAGCAGTCCTTTTCCAGTTTTCTGAATCTTTTCTGGTTCAGTTAATGAAAAGAAAGACAAAACTATATTTGAATTTCTCATTTGTCTCTGCAAATGCTGGAAAAGGAATCTTGTTACGTGGAGATACGGGCTTTGAGGTAACAATCTTTGATCTTTGATATAACCTAAAGTTTTATTGGTGATGAGCTCGTTATAAAGTGTAAAGAACTCCTTTTTATAGAACCAGAGAATAAAAACTATAAAAGTTGTCTTATATAAGAATGCACACTACATGGATGTTGTAAACCAGAAGATATAAAAAATATTATAATGATTACGTAGTAAAATTTTTATTTATTTCATTGTCAAGACGTAGTACATCCAATAAAATTTCATAACCTTTCTATACAGGATACACATATTTTTATATAAATACAAAAACAAACTGCTTGTTAAAACAAAACAATGAAATATTAAAAAAAGATGAAAGCATCTCTTTAACCATTCCAAATTTAGATATCTTTCATGTTAAAGCCTTTGTATTATAGAGCCAATCTCTCTGTGTCTGGAAAACAGAACTATACAATCGAATTACAGCCACTTTATTATATCAATTCTGCGAATACAGTTTTAAAATGCAATCCTAGATCGGAGTAACGAGCAGTCCTTTTCCAGTTTTCTGAATCTTTTCTGGTTCAGTTAATGAAAAGAAAGACAAAACTATATTTGAATTTCTCGTTTGTCTCTGCAAATGCTGGAAAAGGAATCTTGTTACGTGGAGATACGGGCTTTGAGGTAACAATCTTTGATCTTTGATATAACCTAAAGTTTTATTGGTGATGAGCTCGTTATAAAGTGTAAAGAACTCCTTTTTATAGAACCAGAGAATAAAAACTATAAAAGTTGTCTTATATAATTATGCACACTACATGGATGTTGTAAACCAGAAGATATAAAAAATATTATAATGATTACGTAATACAATTCTTATTTATTTCATTGTCAAGACGTAGTACATCCAACAAAATTTCATAACCTTTCCATACACGATATACATATTTTTATATAAATACAAAAACAAACTGCTTGTTAAAACAAAACAATAAAATATTAAAAAAATATGAAAGCATCTCTTTAACCATTCCAAATTTAGATATCTTTTATGTTAAAGCCTTTGTATTATAGAGCCAATCTCTCTGTGTCTAGAAAACAGAACTATACAATCGAATTACAGCCACTTTATTATATCAATTCTGCGAATACAGTTTTAAAATGCAATCCTAGATCGGAGTAACGAGCAGTCCTTTTCCAGTTTTCTGAATCTTTTCTGGTTCAGTTAATGAAAAGAAAGACAAAACTATATTTGAATTTCTCGTTTGTCTCTGCAAATGCTGGAAAAGGAATCTTGTTACGTGGAGATACGGGCTTTGAGGTAACAATCTTTGATCTTTGATATAGTCTAAAGTTTTATTGGTGATGAGCTCATTATAAAGTGTAATGGAGTCCTTCTTTTGAATCAGCGAATAAAAACTATAAAAGGTGTTTCATATAAGAATGCACACTATACGGGTCTGGTAAACCAGAAGAAATACAGAGATTATTATTACTGCGTAGTACAATAATAATTACTTATTTCATTTTCAAGACGTACAACTAACAAAATTTTAAAAAATATCATAACTTTTCCATGCATGATAAACATATCATTGTAAAAATACAAAAACTATTCATACTTTCATTAAATTAACGAATTAAATTGAGAACAACGACTGATTACCATTCCTAGATGTATTAGTTATTAGAAATACTAATAATTGGAGTTTGATATATTTGATATATCTATAGAAAAAATACCACTACGCAATCGACCATAAGATGGCTAATTTAAATTTATTAGTCCATAGACTACATAGTTTTCCACTTACCAACAAAATATATGAAATCGAAAAAGTTACATTAGGAATGTACTTGAGTGTTATGGATATTTTCCTTCAATATAATTGAAGTTCAAGTTTATAAAATAATTAGAAAACATACGTATAAATTTGCGATTTCTGCAAATGCGACTTATAAGTGGAGAAATATACGTATTTCAATAGCGTTTGATAAAGGGTTATCCCCTGGTTTAAAAAAATCAATTATAAATTTGTGTATAGTGCCAAACCAAACCAAACCAAACCTCCACTGAAAAGGTGGGGTATTTATGAAATTTTATGTTAAGATTGTAATCAGAAATATATTGGGTAAACTAGAACATCAATATTAACATGATTTAAAGAACATATCGTCGGTGAAATGTGATAAACTGCTAACTCCATTATTCCTAATTTTACAGGAGAACGGTACATAAAAACGGCACAAAAAAATATGTACACATATAGGAAGTATTTTCATGCGTTTATATGATAAAGAGATAAGAATTTTATTTGCTGGGAACAATAAAACTCAATATTTCGTGTTACTTAATTTTTTTCAGACACAATAGGGAGATAGCAGATATTCGACTTGCAGAAATAAGAAATAAAATTATATTTTTGGAGATAGCAACATTTATTTTTTGAAATTTTGAAAATGGAATTGAATATTACCCAAAAAAATTTACTAATAATCAATTCAATTTAAAAAATATGATATTCATAACCATATATTTATAATATCTGTGATAATATCGTTGGTCTAGAAACAAAACATACAAGTCCAAAAACGAATAAATTTTTAATGCATTTTTAAAGAACTGAAGTAGCAGCATTTTGGACTTAATGGATATGAAAATAATTTAAAAATTAAACTTATAATTCTTAGAAGATATGGTAGAATCCTTCCATGCTTATCCTATTTTTTTACAACGGTAGTAGACCGAGCTTGTAAAGTGCGGTCATTATAGGATGAAAACAGCGTGATTTTTATTAAATTTTTATTACTTTTCTTCTTATTTTTTTAAATTTTTATAAAGATTATGTATCATTTACGTGGAAAAACGTTGAAAAAATAAAACTGATTAGATATTATGGAAATTCTTGTACAAGTAAGGGTAATGTTATCTAAACTATTTATAGCACGCCGATGAATTGCTCGTATATTGAGAATTTAGTTTTTCCCCTTACCCTTTACGGATACCCCGTATTTACAGAACGGATCGACGCAGGATCAATCTGGCCATATTATATATATAATTATCAGGGGGGCCCACCCTTCGCGGGCCCCCTTTATAGTTCATTATTTATTCTTAACAATATTTGCTTTTGCAATGCATTATGGCATTTGCATTGCATTGATTTACCTTGCATTAGGGTAGTTCCCTAATTTCTATACAGGGTGAGTCTTAAATAAGTGCAAATATTTTCAGGGCTGGTAAATTTCGATAAAAGAAACATAATATTTTCTCTTTACTGTTTTTTCAAATAAATCCAAAACAATGAAGTTTTTTCACTTTTAAAATTTCCAATTTTTTTGCCAAAATTTTGAGAATCACTGGATTTTCTTTCTTGTAAATTTAATCTACTACCTATGTTGCCATATTACAAACAAAGTATGTTTTTAAACTAAAAATTATAAAAAATTCCAAATTTTTTTTTTAAAAATTCCAAATTTTCAAAGAAAAAAAAATCGCTCAAAAAAACCTCATAATTGTGTTTCTTAGGTCGAAATATACTACCCCTAAAAATATTTGCACTTGTTTAAGACTCACCCTGTATATAATAAGGAAAAATTGACCAAAACGTAAGGCGAAAAAATACGCCAAAAAAATCCACACATTGGTCCTTACATTGCCACCCGGGCACCTTTTGCCTAGTTCGACCCTGGATCGACGTACTGTACTAAAATTGCGGAGATAGCAGCATTTCGGTGGCTACTTTAGATCACTGGGAGTTAGCAGATATTATTGAGTTAAAATAGGATATTTTCTTTAATGGGAAACAATGTATATTTGCTTTCCCTACTTATAAAGTATTTTTTTCTCTTTCTAATAGTACAAAAAAACATATTAACATAAAAAAATAGACTTAGCAGGTTATCACGTTTCAACTGACGATATGGCTCAGATAAGATATGGTAGTACGGATAAATCTTGCGTGACTCAACATATTGATGATAAAGATCATTGCATAGATATTAATAATTTAAAATTAATTAAACCAGTCTCAAATTACAGGCAATTAGATGCATACGAGAGCGTCAAAATTAATAAACGTAAGGATAATATGAATAGGGATAATGATCCAATTCTTTCCAGTTTTCTCTTCCTATGACTCGAGTCTCAGTAATTAATTGTTTAAATGTTTGCCACGCTTGGTCGTTGCCAACTGAGCACTTATATAAAATAAAGTGTTTTAGTGCATTGTAGTGAATTAGTGTTTTATTTTACCATGTATAATATAGTTTTAATTAAAATTTGATCAATTACTTACCAAATATCGGGTCTAATTGACTTTGTGATAGCGTGGAGCCGAGAACTTGAGCTAACTTGGGCGAGTCGTCCCTAATGTAGTTCTCCACGCTTCCGTGCCACAGATTATAGACGGACCCAACGCACCGGACTGTCATCACGCCTTGTATAAAGTGCGACTTGTTCGTCAGGATTTCGATCTTGGACCTTGCCGATTTCAGTTCCAGCATCGCATCTTTCTCCACTTTGGTCGGGTGGATCGTGATGAAATCGTTGTTATCTTTGGCCTGCAAAGAGTAAAAAAAATATTGTACTTTAGTTTATGTTGGACTAAACTTCTTTTACTGCTTGAATAGATTTGGATTAGCCTACTTAAAAATAAACATATTTCTTTAAATTCTCTACATTTATTTTTAAGACACTCTGTAGATAAATAAAATTATTAAAATTTAGATTATTAAAATATTCGCAAAATAGGGAGATGGGAATCAAACAATGAACGGATATGATAATAAATAAATAAATGCCTTTATTGTCAAACATTTTTACAATTTGTAGACAAAGGTAATGCAAACAAACAAAGTAAACAAACAAACAAACAAAAGAGAATACAAAGCATTATACAAATAACATTGTCAGTCTTAATATTTAAAATAAACATTTATAAATGTTTACAATGTCAAAGAATAAAAAAATAAAAATAATATTCAAAAATATTTAGTTAGTTTATAGTAAATATCAATGACCTCTAGATAAATTTTCGATGTCATTGGTAAACATAGTAATAGCCAAACATTAGTCCAGTGTTTACAGGATCAAATTCGATTATCAAAATATAAGTCATTTATGGCGTAGAAAGCCTTGTCTAGTAAATAAGATTTCAATGCTTTGCGAAATGAAGAAAATTATGTTATGGATTTGATTTCAAATGGCAGGTGATTGTGTATTTTTTTCGAGTTGTATAATATTGAACTTTTAACTAACTCTGAGCGTGGGGTAGATAGATAAAAATCTTGCTCTGCGTTCTTGAGTGGATAAGTGTGAGATGGCTTTTCTTGAGAAGCTTATTCAAATATAAATAAGGAAGGAAAAGTTAATATTTTTATTTTTTTTAAAAAAGTCCTGGCAATGAGCTCTGCTGTTTAGTCTCAGTGAATATCGAACAGCTCTCTTTTGGAGCTTGAAAATGCGGTCAAATTTAATCGCACACCACGTATCCCAGAATGGAAGGGCATACCTGAGGTGCGACTCGAAAAGTGCATAATAAACAGTTCTAGCCACTGACAAGTTAAGCTCCTTAGAAACAGATCTTAATGCAAAACAGGCAGAACTTAATTTTTTCGACAAAGCGTCGATATGCATGTCCAATTTCAGAGAATTGTCTACAACAAGCCCTAAGAATTTTACCGATTTTACGACGTCAATATGGTGGTGTTGTTAAGTAGAAAAGGCTGCAGTGAGTTTTTATACGACAAAGCTTTAGTTTTAGAAATGTTGAGACTCAGGAGGTTCGAATCGCACCAAGACTTAGTGGTCATTTGATATAATCCTATGAAGTGCCGTGACGTCCTTGTTGCTCCAAGTGAAGCTAATCGTTAGCAATGTCGTTAATAAAAAGAAGAAACAACATAGGGCCTAGTACTGAGCCTTGTGGTACTCCACATTCTATTGGCTTGCTAGAAGACAACCTGGTATCCACCCTCACAAGTTTACTTCTGTTGCTCAGATACGATTTAAACCATTCGAGAGAAGTTCCCCTGAACCCATAGTGCTGCAGTTTATTCATTAGGATCTTATGATTTACACAGTCGAACGTCTTAGAAAAATCACAGAAAATTGTTGCTGTAGAATGATGGTTATTTATACTGGAGTAAACTTTATAAAGGAGGGAAAACATAGCGTCATGGATAGTTGTTAAATAATAACTTTTAGACTACCATTCGAGACGCATTGATGTGATTTTTGGTTCTAAAGTTGTGTGACAAAGAATGTTATTAAAGGTAAAGTAAATGTTTTCATTATTTAACTAGTGCCAACTAGTAATAGGTAAATATTTTACTTATTTATTTCATTTGGGAATTATATGATATAACATATATGTATTGTGTATGTATTTAATGGAACCGATTATGTTGTGAATAATTTCAGTTTAAAAGTAATCTAAATACAACCGTTTACTGTCCGATGTTATTCATGCTAATGTTTGTGGTTCACTGTGAGAATAAGGACCTTGTTGAGTGTACTAACATTTTTCTACCGTGCATAGGTGAATATCTTAGCTCGCAAAAGGTCAACCAAAAACAATAAATAGAATAACTTATAATCTAAAAATATTTGCGCCAAACTTTCAATTTTAGTTTCGAGCTCTGCAACCAGGGTTTTAGTACCAGCGAGCGGGTGGGAATCCGTGAAACTAAGAAAAACCGCTGCCGTTTTGAATGTAATAAATGTGACATGTTTTGATTGTATGAAACTACCAACCTCTTTACTTGCTGTTTAAAACTGAGCCACTCTGTATTGCTGTAGTTTATTATGTAATAAACTATTTTATTACGGACATATTTCTGGTAATAGACGAAACATTTGATAAGTAAAACTTTTACGTTTATTATGTTCGGTTAAATACTTGTTTTATTGGGCACAGTAGCATAAAGCTACAATTGAACCATTAAAGATTGTTTTTATTAGCCAAAGAATAATAACAAATATGTCTCTATAATATAAGTTACTTAATTGATATAGTTTAGATTTACAGATAATTTTATTGCCTTCTAAAATTTGGTAGAGTTTATATATATTTATTAGTACTATTTTTAAGCATTCTCGACCGTAGGAATGAACAATAGTGATATATTATCGGGAAGTCGTCTGTTTTAAATGAAACTCAAGTTATTCTATAGCTTTATATTTTGACATGGTTTATCTATTCCTCAGGAGCGTAAAGAGTTAGAGTTATACAGGTAGATACACAAAATACATTAAAAAAATTCAAAACAAAACAAAGCCTTTGTTTAGTCTTGCAATTCAAAACATGATTGAGTTTCTTCCCTATGTACTCCATGCTAACTTAATTCATCCGTTGATTTGTGGTATCAAGAGATCCTGAGCTGTGTTTATAGTTGTCCCGTGGTCCGAACTGTATTCTGGGAGTGTCTGGGAGTTTTTTGACATGGGAAATTTGATGAAGAGTAATACCTTTTCGTCTGTACCTGTATAAAGCTGCTGAGTAAACAAATATACATTTACATTTTTTACTTAAAAAAGGACTCTTGGTAAAAATCGCTATTTTGAGATATTTGGAATCGGAATTATGTACCTGCCCATCATTGGCATAAATTAAATCAAATAACTAATCTACCCAACAAGTTTATTTTTTGTCAATAATGACATGTATTGACTTTCCAAATATCTTGAGAACGGTTACTCGTAGCAATTTTTACCAAGCTGCCATGACATTTTGTACGTAAAAAATCACGGAAATGTATATTTTTTCACTCCGTAGTTATAAAACTACGGAGTACTACCTGTATAAACAGGTACGGACGAAAAGTTATTACTCTTCAAACCAGATACAAATATGCAGGTGGCGCCTTCTACAAGTAGGAGTCATATTGACATCAAAATCAAATTTATCATGTCAAAAAACTCTCTCAGACATCAATTTTCATCGAAATATTGACGTTACTTCAGAAATTATTTGGAAAAAAATCGAAATAAAAATACTTCTACACCCTGTATCTTCGAAAATAAGCATTTTATAAAATACATTCAACAAACTTTTTTTTACTTATTTTTTTCTGTAGAATATGCTGCCGAAGTTTCGGGAATACAGTTCGGACAACCCTGTATATTCTGCTCCTCTTTCCAGTGACTTTTATTTCTTTCAGTTTGTTGGACATCACAACAGGTGGGGAGTTTCAGCACAATTGATCACATACATACAGGGTGAGTCTTAAATAAGTGCAAATATTTTCAGGGGTGGTATATTTCGACCCCAGGAACACGTCTATGAGGTTTTTTTCGCAAACAAAAGATGTCGAAAATCGGGCATTTTCTTTTAAATTTCCCTCTATATTTTTCGAAAAGTTTTTAGAACTGCCTGTTCACCGCAAATTTCTCCACTGTATAATTATATTACCATAGTTACAGCTTTACTCTATGGTTACGGCACTAAAAGGGATGCAAATACAGAAAAAAGCCGGTGGCTCCCAAAATTTTTCCAAGAAAAATATATTTTTTTTAATTTTCAAACTTAAATAACTCGGTTATTTTGGACTTATTTGAAAAATGGTAAAAGGAAAATATGTTTCTTTTATCAAGATATACCAGTCCTGAAAATATTTGCACTTATTTAAGACTCACCCTGTATATAGTTCATCTTACTTAACCCTTAAATGTATATTATTGGCTTTTGGCAACATGCTGTTAATATACCTTATAGAACCAAGCAATCACGAAAATCGTCTAGCCGTATATATAACAGAGAATAAATAATTCCAGCTAGTTGTGACACACTACACCTAAAAAAGTCATGCATTTAAGGGTGTTTTTCTGATTTAATAGAACAAAATTGATCAAGCTAAGATATATACATATATGTTTTAAAAACAATATCAGCCCAAATGGATGTTTTATTTAAAAGAATATATAAATCTTTATAACATTTTGTAATTTAATAAAGTTGTAATTACTACTTAATGCACTAGTTTTTAAGTTACTCACACCAAACTGCAACGTAATTACTAACACATCCGAACCTCGAGCGACTTTGAGACAAATAATCTAATAAAGCCGTAATTAATAATTTTAAATTGTTTCGGCGAAGTAATGAACGTGGAGGAGCAAGTTGGCACCGCGGCAAGGCGGCGTGTTTCAAAACAAGTTGCTCTTTGTTGAAGTAAATTGGTGCTTGCCGCACAAATTCGTTTACTGTGGCGAATCGAGATCAAGAACAACGTACAGTCGGCGGAAAATAGTTGCCTTTACGTAAGATCAATAAGTCCGTTACGTAGTTTTTAGTCTAAAGAAAGATATTAATCGAGTATATACCAGAAAATAATACTTGCTAAGTGCTAATAGTCATATTTTATTATTCTAGAAAATTAAAAATAAAGTATTTTAGTAGTAATTATAGTTTTAAGATAACTCCTTTTTTTTACTGATAAGGCTACTACTACTACCAATAACTAAAAAATACAAGGACATGTAACGCCCATATACAGGCTGCAGCAGAATTTATGATGTTAGACGCCATTTTTTTGGTAGTAACGAATGAGTCATCAGCTGG